TGTGCTGCCGTCAGACGAGGACGAGCTCTGTGCCAGTGCCATGACTGGCAGAAAGACGGCGAGAACTGTGGTGACCTTCATATTTTCTGTGGATTCTGTCGGCGGAAATGGTGACGAATGAGCTATATGAAGCAGTGCCGATGTGTTATGTGCGTTCAAGTGTTGATGAAGTCTTTCTTCTTCCAGCTGATATGAGAAGCATATGCTTGGTGATCCAAGTCTTTCCAAGATGGGGTGATGAAGGTCCGGCTAGTGAATGATGCTCTCCTGCGATGGGAAGAGTGTCCGACTAGGTGGTATATAAGGCTACAGTTGTTTGCTAAATCGTCTGAGCGAGGTGGCTCAAATGGGGATTCGGTACGAGTTGCAGTTGTATAAGTGTGAAGCGAGGGTGGTTTACCAAGAGACGGCGTCTAATGGCGGATAGAAATAGGAATGAACGTGAGACCGAATACTTGCTCGGCGAGTAGTTCAGGTTTTGGTACTGTTTGTTTCAACGACTGTGCGCGAAGGAGGAGAAGTAGGAGGAGGAGGAGGAGGACTTTGCCAACGAAGTCTGTCTGTGGAATTGAAGGAGGGGGATGATTTGAATAAGAGAGTCGCTGGGGGGAAGGCCCAGACAGTCGAGACGTGGGAAAAGGCATGGGTTTTGGATGTGGGGAGGAGCGGCGGGTAAGGGCAACTGCGTGTAAAATGAGCGACATTGGTGTGGCCAGGACCGGGGGGGGAGGAGCGACGATGACCACGGCGACGACGATACAATGATGGAGGCGCCGACAGGGAAGGGGCCACCCCCCAAAGCGAAAGCCAAGCCCGGACGACGTTAACTGTGGTCTGTGGTCTGTGGGTCGGGGGACCTGGGATGGAAGAGAAAGCGCGAAAGATGGAGGAGGTGCTCGCTCGGCCCTGCCTTCCTTGTCCCTGACTCTCATCCTCTCCAGGTGGTCCCGGGGAAAGAGCAGGGACGGAGAGAGAGAGAGAGAGAGAGAGAGAGAGGGACGGCACAGTTACACGAGAGATGAAGTCTGCAAACAGCTGGTTCGACGCAGAGCCAATGAAGCATGCCACAAGGCCATACAGCCATCGTCTCACTGGGCCGGCGAGTGTACAACAAGGTAGACAAGAAGTACCCGCGTCGCTCTTCTTTCTCTTCTTTCCCAATCTTGAAGGCCATGAAGACACCGGGATTGCCATGCAGACGCCGGGATTGCCAGTCCGAATCAGATATCGCAGCTCGACTATCGAGTATACAGTACTTGATATCGATGGTAACACAGGGTTGCAACACATGTACCATAAACTTCTCCGCGGACAGGGGGCCTGGATATCCGTGGGAAATTAAGGCGCGAAAGCACAGCATTGCGTTCGCTGTCCGCTCACCACACCACGTTACCTACTCTGCCTTGTGTTTATGAATAGCCCGCCCATTAGCAGTTATGCAACCAAGCCGCATCACGCCGGCAACCAAAGCGATCGGCATGGCGTCCTTTGGATGTTGGTTGGCTGACCGCCTGAAGCCATGACAGCGCTTTTCTTAGAACTCAGAAGGGCCAGCTATGCTGAAGCAAGGCGGGCACGAGCCTCAGAACACCAGCAATAGAAGCAAGCAGACGCCAGAAAAAGAAGCACAAGAAGCGCCGTTCTTGGTTCTTGGTGTTTGGGGGCCACTAACAGGTACTACACTACGTATAGGTATTATCGCTTCTCCTGTGGTCTGGGGACGGCTCGGCCGAGCCAAGACGCAAGCAAGTATGGATTTGTGCCGCGACAACTCGCGAGACACCCAACGGTCGAATGTCTCCAGAAAGGCATTGTCACCCAATCGTGTGGTCTTGGCGGGCGAATGAGTTGGATTTCGCCAGGCGGCGGCGACACTATCGATGGGCGAAGGACACACACAATCTGCGCCTCGGTCACCTGGACCGACGGGAGAAATGAACTTGACGCGGATCTGGAATGCGAACCCGGCATCAATGAAATTGTGCGACTGGAACGGGATGGCACGCGAGAAAAACCGCGAAGCCCTCCCATTCCTGATACGGCAATGCGGGTGGATTTCATAAAAGGTGGTATTGCATAATTTCCCCGAGTCGTTGGTGATTGGTACCTATGGTCCCACGGCTAAACTGCACGGGTGGTACTAGTTGACTACTACTACTACTACGTGGTACTAGCCAGGTCAGTCAGTCCCCTTCGCCGGGGTGCTCCTGCATGGGCACCACTTTGTTCCTGACGCTAAGCCTTAGCTGGCCAGCGTGTTGCTGGGGTTGAATGAGACTCGGAGAGTAAGAGTGTGGCAGTTGGTTGGCAACCACGACACTAATGAGAACTTTGCCGCCAGTGCGGCATTTTGGCATTGGAGAGCAAGCACCTGCGTGGAAGAAAGGAAGGAAGGAAGCAAGAAGCTGAGCGAACGGCAGGTTCCTCCTCCTCCCCCTTCCCATCAGGCTGCCCCCGGCTTTCTCTCCCCAGGCCAGGCTCCTTCCAAAAGTCGACTGTCAAATCTTAAGATCGCCTCGCTCCTTCCCAAAACGTCCGTACGACGGTCTGTGCATTGGTAGGTAAGTACGGATACCTAGGTAGGCAATCAGCTTATCCTCCTCCATCCCTCTTCCACGTTCCCATCACATGTAAAGCGCCGTCTCGCACGCAGTCCTTGGCGCACCGCCCATCGCATCGCATCGCATCGCATCCGTAATCGCGACTTCAGGAAATGTCGACGCTGCATGCATCGCCATTGCTTCGTCCCAGCAACAACGACATGACCATCAATGAGCACCGCACCGCATCACACCACACCACACTGCACTACGCAACGTGACGACCGTCGTCTCATGTGTCGCCGTCCTTTCCGTCTCTGCCGCTTCAACATGATGCATCCCGTTATCCGAACCCGCGCCTGAGTGTGTGGGGATGCTGTAATTCGCGGCCGACACTTTTATTGCAAATCCTCGGATGAAACCCGAAACCTCTCCACCACTACCACCACCAGCTCCGCTAACTTCGAAGAACCTGGCCTGATGAGAGTCATTGTGTCGGAGATCGCCAGCAGGCCATCATCTAAAGTCCTTCCCATCAGGGGGGGCAGTCTCTGGCCCGAGCTTGCACCTCACTTGACGCACCGCTCTCCCCTTTACGTCGCAAAGCTTATCGACAGGCCTCTGTCGCAGCAGAGCCATCGTGACTTTTCGCTGGCACCACCGAATCCTCACCAGTGTCGGCAGCAAATATTTGCCCATTCCACCCACCCGACTTCGCGCATTGTCGGCGTCTGCGCTACTCGGGGAAGCCGTGAGCAAACCAGTGCGCCCCAAAGCTGCTTCAGCTGAATCATCGACTGGGCGCAGCGATGCCGACCTGTCCGATGGAGTGTACTACATAGGTAGTATGTATGGCCAGCGCACATCACCCGCCAACGCAGCAAACGAAAGTGTTTGATGGAACCGCCATCGCACTTCTGCGTGCCACGTATTAGTGTACCTTGCGTACTTCTCGGCGACTCACAATTAGCGTCAATGAGTCGTTGCGATAGACTCGAGTAGGCCAGGTTTGAACCATTGAGCAACCGGCTCCCATCCACACAAGGACAGGCACTGGTGAGCCACCGGTGCTAAGCTAAGCACCCGGTAGCCACCGGTTGGGCTCGAATGCATTTTTTGCTTCTCCCTGCATCGCATCCCGTACACTGTCTCGGAATCATCAGCTCTCCCAACGGCCGCATGCATCGAACTCGGCCCGTACGATGTATCCAATATGCAAACTGCCGCAGCGCCATATACCCTCATTTCGGTTTCCAGTCACTCTGGTGCTGCGACAGCCGCCCCTTGCACTGTCGCTGATTTACGTCAGAATACATCATCCCTGCCATCTCGTCTCGTGGCTCTCCACAGTCATAGCATGAGAGTGGAAACACAGCCATGCATTTACAACCCAACTTATTACATGCCTGTCGGCCGTCGCGAGCGTTCCTGTCATCTAAGTGATGCGAAGCGATCTGCGGAGCCCCCGTCTCCGTCTTCCGACCCTTGAGTCGATTGTCCAGGGACCAGCAACGGAATCTCTTCTTGCCTTCATCACCCAACTAATAGACAGTGCTCGACGACGGTCCCAAGTAGGAATGCGGCGCACGGCGGAAAGTGCTGAGTGCCTGCAGCCAGTGCATCATCCAATCAGTCATTGGCCTGCTAGGTAACTGCGACGACGAACATTGGACGTGAGTATCCTGCTGTCGCATCGCGGTTCTTGGCGGTGTCCGATCTTGACATACATCGAAACAAAGGCTGTTTTCCATTGAGCGCGTTTTGAAACGGAGGCCCATGGTTCATCTGAGCGCAGACTTATCCAAAACTTGGGGACAAGCACAATGAACATGGGCTCGCGCCAGGCCTGGTTGTAACGTTCTAGAGCAAAGCAGCGGGAAGAATCTGTGCGGCGCCATCTCAGACGGTGTGATTACAAGCAGCAACAAGGCCGGGACCGAAACGTTTTCTGCGCCGTCGGTTCTTTCTTTTCAGCCACCAAGGTACATTATCAAGGCGATTGGTTCCTCGTGAGGTCATCAGCTCCAGCGCCCGCCCGGCTACGTGGTTTGTTTGTCCTTGCACTCACTTACCATCACAGTGCCGCGATCTGTGCGATTCCATCCAGAAGAGCCAAGAAGACAACGAACGTACTGCCATACGGACAAGAGACCCACTTGCTGTCCTGATCGTTTTATCGCCGAGTGGAGTTCAGGAGTGTGGTCCACATGTAGTATCGGCGCCGTTCCAAGACATGACGTTGGCCAGTGGTTCAACACCGGTGATTCCAGTAAAACATGACAAGGCACAACGTCTTCAGATGACGCTGCGCCAAGAATCCCTGGCCAGCCCCGCCGCCTCAAGAATTCATCCAAATATCATTGCGCCATTCACAGACCGTCTGTCGGATCTGCACCAAAGGGTTGTGAGGCCCCTCACGATCACCCCATAGCAACCCACTTGAATATCCCTGAGATCAACGGTCTATTAGTCTAGTTGGTTAGGACGTCGGATTCTGATCTTGGAATTTCCGTAGGCCCAGGTTCGAATCCTGGATGGACCTCAAACTTTTGTTTGCATTTCATAACCCAAGGGAGCACTTTGCTCCATGAACCTGTTTTTTTTTTCATCGCTAGATGTAATGCGACTTCCTTTATACAATGACTCGTCTCCTAATCTAGACACGTACAGGTAAAACACTATTAACTTCTAACTATCCGTATATATAACGTCAAAACAACAATCCGTACATTGCAATGCCAATCAGCATTAATAAAATTAGCCGTAACAAGCCAAGATACACACATACATGTTATACACGATGTATAGGTGTTCGTCTAGCATATAGTCAAAATTGAGAATATAATGCGTCGAAGGCGTCTTTTAATTGCGAGAAAACTCTGGGCTTTCTTTCTCCTGGGGAAACCCGTTGCGACCTTCGTGTCAATCTATCCATGTGTCAAAACGGAACGCATTCAATCACCGAACATGGATGGTCTGGCTGTTTGGACTATATCACCCAACTTCCAGTCTAACTAATACCCGTCAATAATGAGGCAACACTCAGATGATGAAAGAGTCCGCCGTGGCCAAGGCAACGTGTTGGGTGGGTCGGGTTCAGACATTACACCAGACGAGGGCGGGAAGATATCATTCAATCGGGACTACGATAATAATATTTCCGATGCCATGAGGAACTTCCGGAAGTCGATCTGCCCTGTGAGGCTCTTGCTCGCGTTCGGATGCTTCGCTATCCAGTCTTTGGGCGCTTTGGAAGACAAGACTTTATGCATTATGAACGCCCATGAAGCCACCACGGATTCGGAAAAGACTGATAGGTCTTCGAAGTTCGAACCTGGTCGAGGGCATCAATACTGGGAAATAAACCAACCATGGCAGCAGCCCCATAGTGCCTGTCAGCCTAGCAACCTTGGCCTGGGACAGGTTTGAGAATTCGGTAATAGATCCGTGCTGAAGATGGATCTGGTGACGACGATCTACAGTACTCAGACTAGGAAGACTAACCTTTAATATTGGCCGGGCGAAGTCGACTACCTCGACCATCAGAATATCACGAGCGCAAGGTTTGCCCAAATCATCATGGATCTCAATATTGGAGAAGTCAAAGACCATGTCACTATCAACATTTACAGTAAGCTCGCTTTCTTACTTTGAAACATGACTCTTCGTACCTCATTTCTGGCTGGTCCGTGGCCCTCATTCCTGTTTCCTCAAATGCGATCGTGGGCGAGACTGAGTGGCCGGGCATTTAGGTTAGTGTCGGCGGGCTGGGGCATCGAATCCGCCTGGATGGCGGTGTTACATAACTACGAGGGTCTTCTGATGGCGCTTTTTATTTAGCTTCTTCGAAGCCATCTTCTCCCCCGGGGCCTTACACTTCACATCGGTTTAGTACAACGGGAAGCAGTTTGCCCTACGCCCTACGACACTCCATGATGGTTCATGAGCAGGCAAAGATATTAATGTTCTAGGTCTAGACGGCGTGGAGGGTGTAGGTAGCGCAGTTGTTCTGGGCAAGCGTAATTAACCTGTCTCGATGGCGAGATGCAGAACAGCAGCGAGTACGGGAGACCAAGGATTCTGGTGGCCGTGGAAACGGGCTTCGTATTCCGCAGGATTCGCTGTCCGGGGGCGAGTCCGCCGAGAGTCAGTTCCGTGAACTACTATCAACATGAGTATTTGTGGTTAATTCTCGTAACCTGTACACCGCTGATGACAATGATGCCAAGACCCGATTTTTGCCATTATTGACGTCAAGGTAGCGGGAGAGCCTGGGCGTTATTCATGACACATGGATATCAACGGCTCGAGGCCTTGGTTCGTGTTGAAGCCAATACGTGAGTCGGCATCTTGATCGGTAATGTTTCACCCCACGAATGACCCACGGACCTAATCACTGACTCCACTACTCCACGGCAGTTCATCTGGGGATATCGGTAGGGTTCAGTCAAATCATGCGATGGTTAATCCATTCAATACATCCTCAGATGGGTGTTTTCGAGCTTCAGTCTGAGCACACACTCTCTCCCACCTATTCCGGTTGATCTGGTGTGACGGAAAAACTCGTTTGTATAAGCCATTCCCCCACACAAGTATCCGTAGCTTTCTTCTCCGGAACCCCGTTATGCGGACTCTACGAAAAAGTGGCGCATCCTCGACCGGTTGAAATCCAATTCGTCGGGTAGTACACAATGGGTTGGGGAATGGGAGGTCGATTCTTTGTTGAGCCCATGCGGGGAAGTACCCAGAGACACCTTTGAGAGGCTCGGGATACGTCCTAGCCTCTGTCTATGACTGGCTCGACCATGAGGAGACCCCGGGGGAAAGTAGGGACAGAATCGTAAGATTTCCAAACCTGCAAAGCGACATTGCGTTGTTGTGGTTGCGATATGTGAACCTAGCGCGTACCATTGTAGGTGCCGACAATACGAAATATAACAAAGTATCCATCCAATTCATGAGTGAACCGTCCGTCCCACACTGAAGACATAGATTGACAACGTAGACAGAGCCTCAGAAAGCTTGAACTAACATTGATGATGCACCAAGCAAGGCGTCTATCTACCAGACGAGCGTCCCGTTGGAGGAGACTATCAGCCCTACGTGTAAAGGGACCAACCACTCAGCATGAGTTTCGTTTCCAGTTGAGCTGCTAAGAAATTCAAGCCACCGTGGCGACACACACACACATACGCGCGCGCGCGCACCCCTGCTCTGTTGCATCGGGCTCACGGTCTAGAACCCGCCCACATCTGGCGCCATTTCGCTTGGAATAGACCAGTGTCTCTCCTCCCGTGTCCGTACCAGCCAGCCAGCCATGGAACTTCTTTCACCCCGTGCCCGTAGCGGTGCTATTTCGTCCTAGGTATACCGTTTGACTGACCGCATACGTAAGGGAGACGATTTGCACCGCCTTTCGTAAGCCCTTAACCTGAAAGAGGCGTCATGGAGTCTCGCCAACGCAGCCCTACCCCGCTTTTGAAGACGTGCCGCACATGCGCCCATGCTAAGATCAAGTGCGATCGCACCCAGGACCCGAGCATCTGCGACAGATGCCTTCGCCTGGGTAAGGAGTGCACCTACGCCAACGCCCGCGGCCGTAAGCCACCGGGCCCGCGTCCAAGGTAAGTAAAGCCTAGGTAGTCTCCGCTCTTAGGACGCCGCGCGTGGTCCACGCCGACCGAGGCTGATAGCTGGAAAAGATCCAACAAGCAGCTTCAGATCCCGGAGCGCCCGGCTCCGAGCGCGACCGGAAGCCCCTCGGCTTCCGAGAGCATCGCGTCTGAACAGAGTCAGACGCCGCCGCACCATGCCTCCTCATCCGGCACCACCACAGCCAGCCAACAACCGCCGCGCCCAAGTCTACCTGGCTATGCCGCCGGCGCTCACGATCCCTTCAAAACTGCCCAACTGTCTCTTGAAAAGGGCCAGGAGCTCCTAGACAGATTTCGTACTAGGCTGACGCCCCATTTTCCCTTCGTCATCATCGCCGACTCGGAACATGTCAGCACTTTGCGACAGACCAGACCGGCCTTGTGCCTTGCACTTCTTGCCGCAGCCTCACATGACGATGTCCGGCTCCAAAGAGCGCTTGGCCAGATGTTCAACGAGCTCGTAGCAGCACGCCTGGTGTCGGGAAATTTCACCTGCCTAGACGTTCTCCAGGGGCTACTCGTCCACCTTGCCTGGTACTAATGAGACTTCACTCCTCATTCGTCCTTGACACCGTCACTAACATCACCTTCAGGGCCCACTTCCAGCCCAGACCGAAGAGATATTCACAACATCTCCATCTGGCAATTAGTATTGTCTCCGACCTGCGCCTGGACAGGCCAAAGAACCCTCGACGTTGGAACATCGAGGGTATGAATGCAAAGGATACCCCCGAATCTTTAGACGAACGCAGGACCTTCTTGGGGACATACTATCTTTCATCTTGGTGAGGAATGCCTCCCCCTGATCCTCACAGTCCCATGGTCGACATCGCTGACCGATATAACATTCAAGTACAAGCATAGTGCTACAGAAACTTCGCATAGTCAAACTGTCTAGTTTCATTACTGAAACAGCGGAACGGCTGGCTCAAGTAGCAGAGCATCCTACTGACCGGTACCTGCCCTACATCATCCGCTTGCAACGACTCGCCGAAGAAATCGACGATGTTGTCAAGAACGAGTCAGTTTTGGATCCTATGCAAATACATGCGTCCGTATCGGAGGCCAAGGAAAGTGTTGCCGCTTTCAAGAACAGCTTGGCATTTCCTCTCAGCGATTGCCGTAAGTGAAAGCAGACAACAGCTCCGACCTATGCTGACCAGTCCCGACAGCGCTATTGGTTCCTCAAATGCACACGATTCAGCTCTGCTTGAACCAGTTATCTTTACCAGAAGCTCCCTTCGGCTTGACCAACCCGCAGAATGACTCCTTGCAACGTCTCATAGCCGGCCTATCAGAAAGCACAGTATCCGCAAAATCTCTCATCAGCGTCCTCCTTCATACACCTCCTGGACAGGAGGTCTACTTTCCCAACATCATTTGGGTGATGCTTCATTGCGGTTTGACCCTGGCTGCGCGGCTCGACCTCTTGGCCGCAGACCCTAGGATAGCTTTCATGGCGGAGCATCTACGCCAATTCTCCGATATTGGCCACACTATCCGCCAAGTCGTTCTCAGACTCGAGTCTACAAGTTCGCCAAACGTCGACGACCGGGGTGATCGCGATAGCTTCTACCACTTTGCTATCCGCGCGAAACGTGTCGAGCAGTTCTACTTACAGCAGCAGAATCAGTCTGCCAATCAGCAGCTAGATTTCCTGCCTCAGACCCCGCATGTATCTGTACCGACAACCACGGCAGGCTTTACACCCATGAGCACGCCCGGTTCGGAGTTTTCGATACACAGCCAAAGCCTGGATTACTCGCTCCCGCCATCGATGTTCGCACAGCCAGCGGCGACAACGGACGGAAACGCGTATCCGAACTTCATCCCACCGAATCCCCGCGCGATGAGCATAAGCTCAGCTTCCACTTTCAGCATGGACGCT